TTACGTTGGCATTGTCACAATTTGGTTAGCAAACGTCACAGCACAACATAGGGATGAGGTCTAAATTATTTAATTTCAGGGATTGGCAGAATTTTTTTTTAAATTTGACCCTAATCGCGTGCCATCAAATCAAATTAAAAAGACAAACATTTAGAACAAAAATAGTCTGATGTGAAATTAATTAATGTGAACATCTTTTTATTTTGTATTACCTAATAATGACCGTATGGATATTAACATTTTTTCTTTATATTATTTCCATTTGGACATCGCAAGCACATACAAATGTTCTTTTTGTAAAATGTATTGGTATACTGATTTCCATGTAATTTTTCTTTTTAACGATTTTGAAACAGTTACATTTAATACTGCATTGGTTCTTAATATCCGCATATTTTTATACAGCAAGAAAACTTTATTTTGAGGTGCAGAGGGAGGTCTAACACTTTAATCTCCCATGCCCACGTCAGTAAATATACAACAACTTCTCCGAAACAGTTGTAAAGTTTTCTTGCTTTAAAGTACTAGTAGTTTTAATATATACAATTACCACTTGATTTAAGCTGGAATAATTTCCGTTGACATAATCAAAGACGAGAATGTACACGTCAGTTTCTGATTTTATTTGAGAAAATTCTTCTCTGTGCTGTTGTCTAAAATATTCTTATATGTACAAGGTTTAGAAAAAAGGAAGCAACATGTCCAGACTCATGTTTTAAGCAATGCTTACGTTGCTGGAACATTCCAAGAAATTTTTGGTTTAAAATCGTGTTCCATGTCTAGATATGTATGAGGTAGCCGAGACAACACGTCACACAATGCTCAACAATCTAGGTCAAGCAACGTTGGGCCATAAGACATGGCCATGTCATCATGGCCATCAGGGCCATTCAGGGCCATCACGTAGCTCGAGTTCAACGCGATGTGGATACACTTGGCCAGGCAATCATGGCCAGGCAATCATGGCCATACAATCATGGCCATACAATCATGGCCATTGAGAGCGAACACGAATCATGGGTTGCACGTGCAGTGGGTCCACGTGAGTGGCCACAGAATGCACGTGAGATTTGCAGGTTGGCGTGTTTGCTCACCAGATGTAGAGCTAGGGCAGGTGATGAGAGCTGGTTTATACATTAGGGGCCATCTTGCTGTGTCAGGTGTCTTATGATACTTGTCTTGGTGTCTTAGAAATTGTGTATTGATGTCTTACAATAACTGTCTTAGTGTCTTTGATAGTTTGTATTGATGCCTTATAATATCTGTCGTGGTGTCTCTGAAATTGTGTATTGATGTCTTACAATATCTGTCTTGGTGTCTTTGATAGTTTGTATTGATGTCTTATAATATCTGTCGTGGTGTCTCTGAAATTGTGTATTTATGTCTTACAATATCTGTCTTGGTGTCTTTGATAGTTTGTATTGATGTCTTATAATATCTGTCGTGGTGTCTCTGAAATTGTGTATTTATGTCTTATAATATCTGTCTTGGTGTCTTGTAAAGTGTGTATTGATGTCTTAAAATATCTGTCTTGGTGTCTTTTAATGTATGTCGTGGTGCATTAGAATGTTTGTTTTGATATCTTCAAATACGTCTTTTTGTATAGAAGTTTCTGTCTTGATGCATTTAGCATTTTGTCTTCAACGAAATGGGGGCGGTCTGGTGGGATACTAGAGTATGCGACTGCTAACCCGAATGTCTAGAGTTCGAATCCCGGGTTCTTGTCCGTAGAATATCCTCGAGTCCACCCAGTTCTGGTGGGTACCTGGCTCACATTAGGGAATGTAAAAGCGCCTGGACAAAGTGCTGACCACACTATCCCTTCATATGTCGAGGTAACTGAGACTGCTAACTCCACATGTTGCTAGGGTTCTTTGTTTACTTTACGTATACAACAAGGATTTTAATACATCTATCTCTTATAGACCAGCCATTAGATTAATTCAAGATATCATTTACATTACTCTCCCATAAAAAAAAACACACTGCAATCCGCTATAAATCCTTAGAAGAATTAATAGCTATCTTTATGTTTCGTTTAACTTAATTAAAGTCGAACATAATTAATGAAACTAAAATATACATTTCAGTTCTTTTAAAACACATTAAAAGCCATGACCGCTTAGTAGCACTTCTTAGCATTAATAAAACAGAACTGTATAAAAACACTAATGTAAAATAATACCCAAAACAAGTAATGGATCGTGAACATTAGAGTGATATTGTATCTATCACAAGTTGGATGAAGGAAGGTGGTTTCACATTGAGCTCATTTGTTTTGTATAGAAGTAGGAAGTTGGTAAAGACCAGTGCTATGTCACTGTTATACACAACTGCGTTTGAGTTTATTCTTATTTTAAATGCATTTTGCCATTTAAATCTCTGACTTTCATACTTTTTATATATAAAACGAGGATAAAAAGTATCTAAAATTATTAAATCGTATTATTTCCATATTTCTTCCTAATCTCATATACTTTAAATCATATATAGACCATATATAGACATAGTGATTAATTGTATCACTGAGACTATAAGAAATACAATTTGAAGGACGAAATTGTGTGAAGTTGGGGGTGGGAATAAGAAAGTCTGGTGAGGGTGGGGGTAGGATTGGTTGGGATAGGAGGATTTGTGGTGCTGGTGGTGGTGTGTGTGTGGGGGGGAGGGGGTTTGAAAGGATTAGGGTAGGAGATAAGTGCTAGGGTGAGTGGTAGTGGTGTGTGGGGTAGGGGATCGGAGGGTCAGGGATGAGAAGGTCTGGGGGTGGGGTGGTCAGGGAGGAAGTAGGAGAGTCTAGGGTGAGGGGTAGTGGTGTGTGGGGTAGGGGATCGGAGGGTCAGGGATGAGAAGGTCTGGGGGTGGGGATAGGGTGGTTGGAGGCGGAAGGAGAGTCTAGCGTGAGGGACGGGAGTTTCATGTCTGAGTATGGGGGAAGAAGTCATTGTTATATGTTGATGTGGAGTTAATTGGCAATGTACGTTATTAAAAGCAAATCTAGTTACTATAAAAATGTCCATCAAAGTGTTTAACAATTGGTATTTTAATTTTTTTTAAAATGACTTTTTTAACACGTATTTTTTTTTCATTACAATTTGAGTGAGCACCGCCCTTGTTGATTGTGGTCGTGTTTCAATCGATTCAACACAGCCAGAGTGCTAAAGTAGATACGGTGTACACAGACAGTAGCGTCCTTATTATTTTATCCCATTAGACACTATCAGCCTCATGCAGATGGAGACTCGAGGTCCAAAGTTTGAAACAGTTGATATTGAGCAGGAGTTGTTTATTTACCAAAGGAATGGTGCACCAATGGTTCACTCATCAATGGTCTGCGTACGCATGGTTTGCTCATCAGTTAGTGTTAAATGGGTAAAGGACACGGTTTTAGGTTTGTTGTGTGTTTAAGTTACATTTATAGGTTCTTTATACTTAAATTTGGGTGTAGATTTGGCGTCACAAACCGGTTACAGATCTATATAAGATTTAAGGTTTGTTTTGTGTTTATAATTTGTTTCTATAATATTTATGTTGAAATTAGAACTGGATAGTTACATGCTGGTGACGGACTGAGTCTACCAAGCTCTAATGAGTACCTGACTAGCGTTAATAAAGAAAAGTAAAGGCGGCTGGGCATGGCGCTGACCACACTATATATTCATCTGCCAAGGTCAGAATTTCAGATAAACACTACTTCATCTGCCTTATCACTAGTTTCAAATGGGTTACTTTATTTTAACATGCCATGGATTATATTGTAGGTTAGTTTCGTGGTTCAGCTGAATATGGTACTAATTAATGGCAATACCCACAGCTAATACGCCATGGGTACGGCTAATCTTAAAGTACAAAACATAATAAACTCAGCTTTCTCCCAGCGATTGATCGACACCGGTGTCTAGAGGAACCTGATGAGTACACCTTTGGCATTTCACGCGCATGCGCTGCCAGCTACGATAAGACAAGTTCAGGTGAGACCTACCCAGGTCAAGTGTCAAGTCTCCCACAAAACTTCAAAGGCGTCACCCCCGATGAGGGGGGGTTGTCTAGACCACAAAGGCGTCACCCCCGAGGAAGGGGGGTTGTCTAGACCACAAAGGCGTCACCCGTAAGTGGAGGGGTTTCATTCAAGCTGCAGATTTGTCAATGTTTAAAATAATTTCCTAACTGGAGGGGGAGGCAGGGGTTTCGGGTTACTGCGGCGAAGGTGGGGTCTGGCCTTTGATCTCTGATGTTGCAGACAGCTATGTGGTTAGAGGCTTTCGCCGATAAGGTCGCGATGCTCTACGTTTATTTATTGTATCCAGCTCAAGTAACTCGTGGGGCGGGGGGTGGGGGTGGGGGGACGAAGGGTCAAGTAGCCACGTGATGCTACAAATAGCTTGAACCCCACCTCAGAAATGGTGGCAGGTTGTTGTGACGTCATTCCATTCTACACTTTGTATCGTACCAGAGACCTCCGTCAAGAACAATTCTTGAATCCGATTCCTTCTACCCACCCTCGTCTGTCTCAAGTTTGTGTCTCGTGTGATACCACATAACCTGATCTTCTAAACTACGGCCTTTGTTTACACATTTGCTCTTGTTTTATATAAATGTTTACGTTCTTGTTAAAAATAAAACCCCGCGTTTAGAAAAGTTATTTTAAGGTTATTTAAAAAGTTGTTTTTTTTAATATTAGACTATCTTGTCTATATTTGTATCAGAACAACTCCTGCATTTAGCTAAGTCCAATCTTTTACATTTTGTCTACACGGTGAGGTAAACATTATATCTGTATGTAATCTCTCTTCCTCATCTTTTCTCGTTCGTGCCCAAGACACTTGGGGCAGATGAAGTAGAGTTCATATGTTTCAGAGACCTCGGCATATGAAGTGATAGTGTGGTCATCACAATGGCCAGACGGTATGTAATCCCTACACCGCGAAAAACATTTCAACGATTCTGCTTTGTGGGGATCTATCGTTGCAGTTGGCGTTGCTGCCCCTGACGTTTCTTACCTTGCCATTGTTTACATTGACGTTGCTGCCCCTGACTTTGATGCCCCTAAAGTCGAAGCCCATGACTTTGACGCCCTTGATATTTTGATGCCCCTGACATTCTAGCCCATGATGTTTAAAGCCCCTAGGATCTTCTCCACAACGTTTCTGAGAGTTACCGGTACATCAAACTTTATTGCTACAGAGTTTAGCTATTATTACATCTAGATTGCAAACGATAATTGGTTCGACGGTAATTTGATCGGTAACGTAGCCCTACCGTAATTGAATGAAGAAAATCAAGACCAGTAACTCTTACGAAGAATTATAAAAACCTCACTGGAAGAGACGCTCAGTACAAACCTACATACTTTTATTTTGTCCTGTAGTTTGTTGTTTAAAGTATCAGCCTAACACTATTTGAAACGGGTACATATCCATCGGCCATCAACTATTTACAGCGACAATCTGCCCTGAACTCATAACACCGACCGTCGGCCCTCCACTCTGATTCCCTTACACCCATTGCCCTTACCAAGGCAATCAGACCAACTCCATAGCACCTTTACTGTTACATCGGCCTTGCTCCCTGGACATCGGCCCTGCACCGTTGCACCCCTTACATCGGCCATCGGTTCTGCTCCTTTACATCGGCCCTTCATCCTTACATGACTTACATCGGTAATTGACCCATACAACCATACACCTCTTACATTGTTCATCGACCTCAACCCTTACACCACTTATATCGTCCATCGACCCTGCACCCTTACACCCCTTACACCAACCACCGTCCTAAAAGCCAACAGTGTTTACTCTAACCATCCAAGACGAGAAGCCCATAAAAAATTTTTAACCCCTTCACGCCCGACGCCTCCAGACAGATCAAGATAACCAGCTTACACAATTGTTGTCTGTTTAACTCATTAGGGAGTGGATACCGCAGAGACCTGTTTACAGCACACGAGAGAAAATAAAATGTAGATTTCCAGTGCTCTCCCAAACGCCCGGTACAATTTTACGATGTGAAATGTATTCCAATCCACGTTTTTTTAGTGATCCGGGGCGGAATCGGATACTAAGTAGGTCAGACGCTGCGGAGTTTAAGATTTGAGAACAAAAATCCAACATTAATAAGGAAACAAATATGTCGTTCAGGAACTATAAAAAAGGGATTGAGCTTATATTATCTAAGACGAAGGGTGTGGGGGTATTATTCTGTTGTATTATGTTACTTGATAGTGGGGTAAGTTAGAGTGGAATTTATAGTGCAAGAGTATACATATCTAACATTGCCTTAGATTTTATACCTATTTATTTTTACTCATTAAAAATGGTTAATTAAATAAATAAAAACAGCTGCTTAACACATTTGTTATGGACAAGATGCCCCGTAGTGGCGGAATATGGGATTTCACACAAAGAGCCGGCTATAGGGTCAGCGGAAGTCAGTGTTTCTTTCAGAAATTTTTTCCGAAGGGGGTGGCACTTGAAACTTTTTGGTAAAACTATATATTTATATTTAAATTCTATTTCGTTCGGGGGGGGGGGGGGTAGACGCTTTTCTGGGGAGTACCCCGAAGTGAATTTTAAAAAAAAAACAACTTATTAGCAATGAGTTCCGGCTAGAGGGTCTGTGGAAGTCTGTGTTTCTTTAAGACTATTTTTCCGAGAAGGTGGGGGGCACTTGAAACTTTCGAGGGGGGGGGGGGCGGACTGAATATTCTGGTAAAAGTGTATATTTATATACAAATTCTATTTCGTTCGGGTGGGGGGAGGGTGTAGACGCTTTTCTGGGGAGTACCCCCGAAGTGATTGTAAATAAAAAAAAAAAAAAAAATTAAAAAAAAACCCAACAAAAAACACTTATTATTAACAATGACCACATGTGTTCCCAACCCGCAACTTATTGGCTCTATGTTCAGTTCATGGCTCTACCAAGACTTCTCATACGAACTTGTCGAAAATGAGTATTTTGTATTAATTAAGACTTCTCAGAGGACTAGACTGGTCCATCAGAGTTAACTCTCGCACCTGCTTGCATGTAGTGTTCATAAAAATGTAGCGACTTATTTTCTAGAAATACAATCATACGTATATTTTATTGTATAAAAAGTTGAACTTCCCAATGGTTTGTTTAGGGAGAGAGGGGGGTTGTGAAATGTAAAAAAATATAAGTGGAAGGGAGGGGGGAAGGGGGGTGCACGGATCTTTGACCACAGTTGCTTTGACCATAGGGGGTTTGACCATAGGGGGTTTGATCACAGCGGGGCTTTGACCATAACGGAGCTCCACTCAGCTCTGATGGGTACCTGGATCACATTGGGGAAACTAATGATGATGGGCATAGTGCTAACTACATTGTCCCCCTTGTTTGTCATTGTCATTGATACAGATGAACTCTACTTCATCTATCCCATGTGTCTTGGGCACGAATGGAAAAATATGATAAAATATAGAAAATAATGAATTCATCTATATTTTCCCCCACATAATAAAGTACGATTCTAAAGTAAAGGGATTGAAACATAACAACAGGTATCACATTACAATTTTTTAAACAATAATCTAAAGAAACTTTATAAAACAAAACAAAAATCACATCGTAGTTTATTTACCTTTTCCTTAAATGTTTTATTTCTATTCCTGCCTACGCTGTCTAGTTCCACCCACGTTGAACAACTCATCGTTCAAATTACAATTGTTCTCTATGTAAATTTTTTTATCTCAATTTTTTTTTTGTATCTGGCTAGAGCCGTACGGTGTTAGCATACAATAGCGCCCGTGTTAGATCATCCCACCCACAAACGTAGGCACGGCATAGACAACAAAGAGACGGGGGGATGATCCTTGTTGTTGGAGTTGTAAATGTTTTGTTAATAATCCATCATAGAGATAAGCTACGGGGGCGTTCGTTTGTATTTTTGTAAACATTTTTTTTGGGGGGGGGGGGGGGGGGGGGGGGGGGTCGGGGTTTGGTTATACGTACCACGCGACATTGTTAGGGTTAGGTTAAGATTTGGATTTAGGATTTCGGTTGTGTTTATGTTGAGAAATGTGTTTGGGGAAGGGCAGAGGTGAATCGATACACGTACGCGCTAGGGTCGGGATCTCGATTGTATGCCCCCCTTCCCCCCCCCCCCCCCCCCCCAGTCCCCGACTCCAATTTAGATTTTTGTGATGTAAAAATGGTTGCAACGATTAGGCCTTAAGTTGTTGAGTCGGTTCAAGCTGGATTAAGATTAGGGTTAACTTATTTTAGGTTAAAGTGAGGTTTTGAGTGATGTTAAATGTTAATGTCTTACAAGTAATTGATATTCAAAATTAAATTGTAAACCAAGGTTAGGGTTAAAATTCCAGCTAGGGGGTTTAGTTTAGGCTAGAGATAATAAAGGCTTAGGGTTAGGTTTTTGATTTTTTGTTTATTGTAGGGTACATTCAGTGTCGTAGGCAGAGTTTTTGTCATGGAGGGATTGCAAATAATCCCCCCCCCTCCCAACACACCCAATGGCGTCTCTAGCACGGGTGACGCCCAGTGCCGTAAATGAAAATGTCACCTCACGCCCCCCCCCCCATCCCCCTCATATAAATCTAGCATTTTAGGTTTTACATAACCCATCTCTTCTACATTTTAAAAATAATTTTAAAACAGCGTTTTGAAAGTACATTTTACGATTTTTTGATTTGATATCAACTTCTAAATGTTTTCACCCGTGCGGACCGCACAACCGACATGGGGGCTGAATGTATGTTTATTCCTAGATCTGGACACTGGTACGGAGCTAGAGCTGAAGTAACAACTTAGTTCTACGAGTGGTACAGTGGACGAACGACGGGTGGGAGATCTATTTCTCTTCTCAGCGGTATTCGAACTCGACATTACTAAGGGACTAGTGATCAGTATAACATTGCCTCGTCAAAATATGGGCGAAATAAAATAAAGCGTGTGTTTACAAAATTGTTATATTAAAATTTCCTTAGTAAACCACATTAAAAAACTAAAACGCTAATTAATTTTTTTTATAAGTCGCGTTATAAGCAAGCGCTAATTAACATTACAACTCAGGTTATATTAATCGATAATTAATCGATAATTAATATTATTACAAGACCCACAACCATTAACCTTAACCAATTAACGAATGCAATTACGCATAATTAATACGCGTGTAATTAGAGCGCAATTTAATGTATCCCATAATTCCTCTATTTACCTACATCTGGCCTTTTAATAGCACATCTATCATACAAGGTTCGCCTACCTCAAAGACTTCCATTCACAGGTTAATCAGCCAGCTGACAAATTGGACATGTCCCCCCACCCCACCCCCTCCCACTCCTTTTCTCAAATTTTGTTCCGACATAACTACTCCATCCGAAAGTTTTCCCCGACGCATGCGCATTACAACGCGCGCGAGAAAAAAAAATAAAAAGGGCGGGGGAAGAAGCGTGTGTGAGTAGTTTCATTCATGCTTTCCACAAGTGGCTCACCCGCAGACGGCGAGTGAGTGGCGTAGAGTCCACGAGTTACGCGGGGGATCCGTTTCCGGTTCAAGCGCGCGTGATCGTTAGTTGATTGCGCGTGCCGCCGGCGCATGCGCGTTGTTATCCCTTTAAAAATATTGCTCCGCTGTTAGTTTTGACAAATTCGCGGACACTTTTAATTCATCACTTTTTAAATTCTAAGTGCCGTTTCTATAACAGTGTCAACTACAAGCTATTACAAAGCATACTTCAAATTTTACTTACGTTGAAGGTTGATATGACTTATTCCCCTTGTTTTTAAACAAGACTTTATCTTCATCAAAATGGATTAAAAACTTAACTTAATTAAATTAAAATAATATCATGAAATATAAATATGGACAATTGAGTTAATCTGGACCAGTAATCGGATTATTAATTAAATAATTTAACTTAATTTTAAATAAATTGTTATTTGAAAACGGAACAGCTACAATTTAGGCGAAGTTTGAATCTACGAGGATTTTTTTCGCTGCCATCTGGTATTCATCAACGACTGCTGCCGGTAAAAGAGTGAGAGACACACCTGTGGCATTATAAACAGACAGGTAAGATTGTATTCAGATTTAATTAGTTTAATTTGTTACAGAACTTTCTGGAATTTTTAAAGAATGATTTTTACGAGATCGTTAGAAAAATGAGTTTTGAGATGAATGTGATCTTTGAAGCAGGAACAATGCAACACCTGCAGCGTGGCATCTTTCACGGAGAACACCTGCAAATAATGAGGCTAGAGGATTAGTAAGTTTACATTAAAAAGTTTACATCAAACATTTACATCAAATAGTTTACATATCTTACAAAAGGCAACAAAATTGATTGGTCTATAAAGCTTGTTTTAGAAATAAATTCGTTATTGGATTATCAAAATTGTAACTTCAAATAGAAATTCTTTAAAAATTTGGAGCAATAAATAAATACAATACTCTACAAATATTATTCTTTGGCAGGTAATATAAATAAATAAATAAATTTAAAAAGAGTATGTTATTATAATAAATTAGCAAGGGAGGTGAAGTTTTCTTGATTTTTATCGGAGAAAATAAATAAATCTAGTTTCCCTTTCGTATTTA